GAGAGAGAGAGAGAGAGAGAGAGAGAGAGAGAGAGAGAGAGAGAGAGAGAGAGAAGACCGACCCCAGACCAGATACAATATTAATTCTATATTTTTCGCCACTGTGTCACACAAACGCGCTGCGAGGGAACGCGCGCGTGCGACGGGCGTATGCGCGATCGCCGTGACTCGCACATATTCGCGTGCGTGCATGCGTGCGTAAATGCGTGCGTGCATGCGTATGTATGCGTATGTACGCGTACACATACGCGGGTACGTATGCCGCCTGCAAAAAGCTCGTCCCCGCGCGTTTATTCGCGATTGCGAGCGAGCCATTAAACAGATTCGCATGGAATTTCACGACGAAAAAAGGATCGGCGAGGGCGCAGCATGGCGTTCTCGCTCGTGGAAATTGCGCGGAACGCGCAATCGATGAAAAAGCTTCATTTCAACGCGAGCTTATTACGAAATTAATTTTATATATAATACGGCGTCCTCGCCGTATCTTCCTTCCTCGACAGGCGATGCCCCCGTCGTATACCGAGCCGCAACGTCCGAAAACCGTCTGCGGCCCCGCGATCGCAATAATCATTCTTGGTGCAATTACGCGATTATCCCGCGCGCGTCCCTATTCTCACCGGCGAAAGAACGAAACGCACACACGCACACGCACGCACGCAGGCACGCATGCACGCACGCACGCCCGCACGTGGGCGAAAACGCACAGCGAGCGACGTTCTCCCGCGTTTACGTCGCGAGGTCCGGTCGATACCGTCGCGGCAATTGGCGCGAAATTGTAAAAAAATATTTCCCGGGCTCTCGCGCGAGAGCAACCGGAGAGAGAGAGAGAGAGAGAGAGAGAGAGAGAGAGAGAGAGAGAGAGAGAGAGAACATGCACACAGCATCGGCGATGCGTGTGCAGTGGCCACGCACGACAACATATGCGCCCGAAATACACACGCCGGCAAAATCCGAGGCCGGCCAATTACAAACACGCCGTCTCACACGCCGGGCTGTCAGTCATCAATCCGCGGAATATTTTTCTCTGGGTCAATTGAACAATTGTACGCGTCGTCGGGCCGACCCGGACCGGGCCGTGCCGCTCGGCTCCGTTCTGTTCGGACCGGGCCGATGGGTTTTAATGTATTTGCCGTTAGCAGCGCGCGCGGGCTTTCAACGGCTAACCGGTAAATCTTCTGACGAGCGATTAACTCGTTTCTCTCGGTACTCCTCAGCTATTAAATTACCATCGGCGATACCGCCGGCAATAAAACTTGTTCGGGGTGATACTAAACCGAGCGAAAGGTTGCCCCGGACCCCGGCGCGGATTATACAATAATCTCTTAAATCACTTAAATGCACCGCGCGTTTATTTATTCCCCATCAAATTATCGGCGTTACTTTGAGCTTTACGGCCGCGCGCGTGCGGGAAGGAGACAGGAAGAGCGCTGTGTTTATCGAGTTTGTCGACGAAGACCTTTTAGCGCGAATAAAAGGGGGAGAGGGGGAGAGAGACTTCTTCTGTGGGTTGCTGGACGTGTGGCAAATGTTTTTGATCGCGCGGCTCTCGACGGATCAATTTTCGAGTGTACGCAGAGAAATATCTCGAGTCGAAATTTTGGTCCCACTTTCAATCTTATTCTTATTCAACCTTTCAACCTTTAACCTATTCCATTCAACATCTACTTTGATATTCTGAAACCTATAATTTATTTTGATGCTAAAGAAAATGATAATTTCAAATATTATCAGAATCAAAATAGGAGTAAATCGTATCATTAGAATTAAACTAAGTTTGCTGACTTAGCTCCTACTGCGTTGTAGAATTCAAGTTTAACGTAGGGCCGAAATTTCGACTCGGAATCATTCCGCTGCTAAGAGCATTTACTCAGTTTGCTTTCCTTCTTATCTGAACTTCTCGGAATGAAATCTCACTCGTAAAGTAGAGTGGCCACCGAGCCACTCGAATTCGAGTGATTTTTCACTCATGCGGAGTGAATTCTCTGCCCCAAATCGATGATTGAATACTTTCACTCGAAATCGAAGAGTGAATCTCTGATGTGCCTCTACCGTCGCAGAAAACTCACTCGTATAGAGTCAGAATTCTGCGAATTCGAAGTGAAACATTCACTCTTGCGATTTCGAGTGACAGTATTTTCACCTTAAGTAAAAACATCGCCACTTTTTACTCGTTTTGAATTTCGAGACTCCGTTCCAAAAAATTTAGAGAATCCTTTTGACTAATAGTAATCTTCAAGAGAGAAAATATTTTCTCTTTTAAAATACAATCTGACAATATATTCATCACAAAACTTAGAGAAGCTCATTATCATGTACTTAAAAGAAGAATTTATTCAATTTCTTTCTTATCTCAATTTTTCCAATATTCTTTTCGATTTTCCTTCTGTTTCGAATTTCAATTTGCTTTCTTATCCAAATTTTCCAATATTTCTTTCAATTTTTTTGTTCCACTTTTCCAATATTCTTGATTAAATTACTAAACTCGCCGAGAATGTATTTTGAATAAATTTAATGCTTATGATAAATTTTCAATGGATATCAGCGGGTGTGTAAACTGAAGAGATACTTGAAACAAGTAATATTTACTTGCATGTATTTTTCTACGTGTATGTCGCGTTCTCTCGTTATCGTACATAGAAAATCGTAAAAAGGGGCGAAGGGGTTTTACTCCACTGTAACTCTGCGAGCTTCGCCTGATTCGAAAAGCCGTGGAAAAGATAAATTCGATCGTTGGAAAAAGTTGGCGAGCAAATATCGAAAGTTTGGGAAAGCGCAGTGTCTAATTCCCGGCGAATCTCCCGGCGCAACTATGTCTAAACTAGGCTGAAAATTCAACCGGGGTGCCCGGTTTATACCTGTAGCTGTGGGATTAAGAGTTAGACGATGTTCTCTCTCTTCCTCTCTCTTCCCCAAAATGAATCACTCGCGCTTTCTCCTCCCTCCCCCCTCTCTCTCTCTTTCTCTCTCTCTCGGTTGCTTTACGTCGAAGGAAACACTTCGCGATGGAGCGACGCGAGTAACGGTAGTTCCTGTCGCGAATTAATAGCGCGATAATTCGAGCCAGCTAGCGAATGCACGCGCGAGTGCATCCACGTGCGCGCACAAGAGCGAAGCAGAAGAAGCTCCCGGCTCACCGGGAGATCCAACGAACGAGTTGTCGTCGCAAGCAGCCCAACGACGACGTAGCGTACGCTAAAGCCTCTCGCGAATTTCCACTCACTCCACATTTCTCCGGATAAAGAAGCTCGCACTTCTTTCCGCGCCAGGACGAATCCGAAAGGCGGAATGAGCGGAGTGGAACGGGCAAGACGGGGAATTACCGTCGTCGCGCGTCCGGCTGTGCCGGGTTAATTCCCGCAGCGACGGGTCGCGCGCGCGGCTGTCCGTTACTCCCTGCGCGAAAATTTTTGCCGTTTTACGACCTCAGCCGTGGTCGACGTCGACGTCGTCGCAGCAGCCATCGACGAGGACGACGACGACGACGACGGCCGAGCGAGCGAGATAAGCGCGCCGAAAATCTAAAGGGCGTCGCCCTCTCTGTCCTTCTCTGTGCGCAGGGGTGATGGTGAAGCAGGAGGCGAGGGACGACGGTTACGAGACGAGTCCGGACCTCGAGATGAGGAGCACCGGCGGTGACAGCAGTCAGCAGTATCACACGCCGCTGACACCACACACGCCGCACACACCGCACACGCCGCACACGCCCCTCACGCCGATATCGGCGACAGCGCATCAACCCCAGCAGCCGGGCTCGACCGCCTCCGCCCTCGGACAGGTGAGTTTTTCATATATTCGCTTGCCCTGCCTGCCTGCCTGCCTGGCCTCGCGACCGCCGATGCTCGCCCGCACCCTCCACCCCCGTTTCCCGTTCCTTCCTTCCTTCCTTCCTTCCTTCCTTCCGGCCGGCTACCCGGCTGCACCCTCGAGCTGTTTACGTAGCCGCGATCCTTGTCCCCGTGGCTCGCGATTTCATTACATCTTTGTGGCCTCGAAATTGGGTCGGCATTAACGGTCGGCAAGAAGTTGCCGCAAGATATCAAATATGTCTCTCCCTTTCGTCATTCTCGATTGACGATCTGGTTTGAGGTCCGTTTTGAATCATGATTATGTAAATGTCAGGACAAATCCCGAGTCGAAATTTTCATCTTACTTTGAGCCTTACTATTTCACTCAATATTTATCTTGATATTCAACTTCTATTTTGATATCCTATAATATAATCTGCTTTGACGCTAAAGAAAAGGAGATTTCGGACGTCACAATCATTAAAGTAGGAGTAAATTATATCATTAGAATTAAACCTACTTTACTAACTTAGCTCCTACTGTACGTTGTAGAATTCAAGGTTTAATATAGGGCCAAAATTTCGGGATGCTACGTTCGCGGAATTGCCGGTCAGATGCGAGTGTACGTGTGCGCGTGTGATCGCCGTAATTATGCCGTGGGCTCGCGTGTAGTAACGGCCGTATTCTCGGTCGACTTTATGTCAAAATTTCGTGTTAAGCGCAACTAATGGCGGCTTCACCAAAATCGCCGCTCAGATAGCGGCGAGATCCCGGGGAATCTCGGAGGTACATTCGCATGCGATTATATTTGCGAAGGGTTGAATAAGGGAGGAGGGAAGAAGGAGACGAAGAAGAGCGATCTGCCTGGCGCAAGTCAAACGCGTCGTCACGTCATGATGGAATAACATTTATGTAGCACAGTAGTGAGCTGACCGCGCGCGCGTCGCACGATTATCATCTCGAAATCCGTCGGGGGCGCCGCGATAATAGAGTTCGCGATTTAAGATCCCGCGCGCGTGCACGCACGCACGCACCCACGCACCCGCGTGGATCGCGCTGTTTATCAAGAAGGGCGATGGGTGCCAATCAAGTCGCAAGCACGCCGGGCGATTCGGCCAACGTTTATAAGAGCCGCGCCCGGAGGGGCGCTTTTACGAGCGAGTATCACGGGTCGTAATCGACGGAGAAAATACGTGCTTATGTAAAGAGAAAGAGAGAGGGAGGGTGGCAAAAAAGGAGAAGAGGAAGAGAAAGAAGACGAGAAAAAAGAAAGAAGAGTCGCGCGCGTAAAATGTCAAAATTATTGGCCAATAAAGAGCGCAACGGCGGCTTCTCTCATTAGGACCCGCCGGTATCGGCGGTATCTAGCACCTCGCAATCAAAATTACGAGCAATAAATTGCAATAAAGACGCGCGCAATCGCCACTCGGAGTTTTCGCAATGCCGCGCGCCGCGACAACGGCGATTTGCATCTTCATGTTTGCTTTTACGATCTACTTACGCAACATTACTTCTGTCGCTGCACAATGAGACACGCGGAACACATGGGTCGATGGGAGCGGGGCGAGAGAAGACGACAGAGAGAGAGACTCGGGGGAGGAGAGCTCGCGATGTTACTTATTCTTCGCTTTACAAACTGGGAAGCGTCTCCGAACGGGCCGTTCCGCGATCAACCCGTCTTCTCTTGCGCGATTCGTCCGACTGAAAAACCTGGTGTGGAATGTGTGCGAAAAAGAGAAATATTACGTGGTTATAAATAGATGGATTTATTATTTTGCATTTTTATTTATTATTTATTATTTTGCATTTTTATTTATTATTTATTATTTTGCGTTTGGAAAAATACCAAGAAATTTCTATGCAAGTTCGCCGCAAGCACACTTAAGTAAGGTGACTAGATTAAAATTAAAAAGAAGAAACAAACTTACTGTATTTATCTGAGCTGTGAATTTTCTTAAAGTCCTTCTTTGTCAGAAGAAAAATTCTTTGAACCGGGATAAGCTGAGTAGTTTAACCGAATCTGGGACAAGTCGGCGTGCTGGATAGTATACAAGAAAATCTGGGACAAAGGATAAAAAATCGGGACTGTGGTAGGAAAAACGGGACATCTTTGGTCATCTTAACTTGAATCTTAACTAGAATACAGTAAATATTAATGTGAGATAAAAATGTTGATATAATATATTACAAAGATTAAAAAAAGAGGGCAAAGAGAGTACACTGAAAGGAAAAATATCTGAAAAATAAAAATATTTTTTTTCTGTGGGAACTAATAACATATTTACTTGAAATTCTTTTATTTAAATAGTATAAACAATCGATTTCATGAGAAACTAAGATTTAAGTATATTTTTATATTTGAAAAATATTTTGTATTAGCATAAGTAAATGTGTCATTAGCCACCGAATAAATAATTTTTATTTCTTAGATATTTTTTTTTCTCTCACAGTATATACCTATACAATGAATGAATTAAACAAGAGCAGCCCCTCTTTCTTTCAAGAAGAAATTGTACAATTTTTAATGTGTACACGAGGAAAAAATATTCGAAAATTTATTCATGAGGCACAAAGTTTATTTCACAGAAATAAACTTCATTTCTCAGAAATAATTTTTATACTCCACAAATAAGTTTTCTTTTCTCAATGTATAAAGGTTCAATATTTTTTGCGTGAATGGGAATGCTGTTCCCATTTCTTTGACAACGAAGGATGTTTTTCTTCTTTGTCTGTTTCACGGATAATCGAATTCCTCGGTCAGAAGAAAGTGAAAAGAAAAAAGAAAATGATCGATTCGTGCGTGCGCGAAAAATGCGAAAAATGATTTTAGCGATTAGTTCGCGGCGGAGATCCGGTCAGTATCTATTTACATTTCATTACCCACGCGATATACGCCAAAGAGAACGAGATATAACGAAATGTGTTATGAAGAGCGAAAACTGTTACATCTTTCAAACGACCCACGGCTTTTTCATTTTACAAGCCGTCCAAATAAAAAGCGAGCGCGATCCGCGAATGAATATTTCGACGGTACGTTTCAGCGACTTCAATCAGAGAACGGCGCATTTTCCGCTCATGAATTAATTGCAGGTTGCAGCGACGATTCCCCTCTCCCATTCCTTTCCATACTTCCCCCCCCCCCC